TATACATAAAACTGCCTATTGTTTTTTCATCTGTGATAATATCTAAGTTTCTTATTATCGGTAAAAAGTTTATGTAATCATTAATGTATTTTTCATCAATGTGACCCTTTACTTCAGCCACGAATAAAGTATTTTTCTTCTTAATAATTCCCAGTGCTTTTGCTTTCTTTGTTGCTGTATCACAAATGATAACACCATTCAATCTTCCCGGCATATACATTTTATGGTCAGTATATTGAATGAAATCATGAGGATTAGATGAAAATGATGAAGGATATAATGAATTAAAATCAACACCAACGAAATGAGTCATGATGTTGGAAGTGTCCTCATTTGATACAGTTTTAGTTTCTGGATTATATGAAAGTTTATTAATGTGCGTGATTCCTTTAAGATTAACACGATGTTGAACATTTGATAAACCACCAGTAATTCCATTACGGAGAATGTGATAAGCTTCAACTGAATCTAAAGTCATTGGTAAATTATTTTTTAATGCATAATTTCTTAAATTGATTCTTAAACGTTGAACATCTTCATCTTTATTTGATTTTACGACATTGCAATAACAACACATTAACTGACAATTTTCTTTGGTATGTGGTTTTTCATTATCGATTCTATCCAATGTTGGTTTATTTGCATATGTAAACGCTTTACCACACATTTTGCATTTAGATGAAAGGATTAAATCGTGATAGTATTGAAAATCATCCATTGAAACATTATTTTTAGTATCTCTTTCTGCTTTTTCATCTTGTTTCTTATATGATTCAATTTTATATTTCCAATACTTTTTCGTTAATTCAAAACTTGATTCCACATTTTCTTCTTCTGGATATGTTTCGTTAGGATTGAAGTTCTTATATGCTAAAGCGTAACGAATCATTGAAGCATTCGATGATAAAGAAAGATTATGAAGCATGTCAATTTTATAAACAAATGTTTCTTCAATAATTTTATCAATTGGGTCAATCATAATTTCAACATCTTTATTGCAATAATGAATAAAATATTCTAATCTATTCTTAAAATTTTTAGCATCATTGAATATATTTGATAATCACTATCTGATATAGTTTCTTGAGTTAATGCTGAATAAAATGAATCTTGAGTGAATGGTTCCTTTATATAATTCTTCTTCGTAATTTCCCATGTGATGAATTGATAAGGGAAAAAGGATTTAACACGTGATTTATTGTTTCCGAAATCTTGAGTGAATTGGTCTAATGTCCCACCCGCTATATAATTTCTGATGTCAATAAATCTCAATTCATATGGAACGTTTGTTTTCTTTACAATGATTTGCTTAAATTGTGAAGATGAACCCAGCATTGATTTTTTTCCATTTTGCAGTGTTTAAATCACGAAGAATTAAATTTAAATCAAACTTTCCCGAATTAAAACCTATGATATTCACTTTATTGAATTCCTCATCTAGAAGTTCTTTAAATGCTTCCTTCTGTTTTTCATTTAATGTATGAGACAAAGTCCCCGCCGTTTGGTCCGTTTGCGACTTCATTAATTCTTCATATTGTTCAATATTTGATTTAGCAACTAATGAACAGATTGAAAATAAAAACTCAATCCAATCAGAAATAAAAGAATCACTCGAAGTTAAGCAAAAATTCCTCGTATATGTTTTATCACGGTCTACGACCTCGCCGCTTTGCGGCTTTAATTTAACCGTTGATGATACCATGAATGGTTTTAAGTAAGCGTTCAAAGTTGCACACTCAGAAAGTTGTTCTTCTTTAGTCTCTAATGTTTCGAAGTCAAAAGTAATATAATATCTTGTCGGTTGATAATATTCCTGCAAATTGTGAGCTAATAACCACTGATATATCTTCTGTTTCGTAATATGTGGTGCATATGGTTGCTGGTCTTTTGCAATTGAACGTCTTGAATTAATCTTCCATTATTTTCTTTACATTTCTCACAATGTTTTAAAAATCTTCTTTGGTTTTTCCTTTCTGGATCATCACGGATAGAATATACTTCTTCTTTGCAAAAGGGGCAAACTTTATATCCTGTGAGTGCTTCAACGTCTGTAATTCTGTCAGCGTGAAGTTTTCCACATGGACTCTGTGTTAATAAAATATTTACTGTTTCAAATTCTGGATCTATCATTATTGAATCCACTAATGGAAAGTCTACCTTATTTATGTCCACGTCTTCTGGTTGAGGATCACAATAATAGAAATCAATATTAACATTTAACATTCTCGCTAATCTCTCACTTTCTGATGAAATGTCAAACCCTTCATATGAATCTATTGCTTCATTTAAATAGCTTCTACGAGTTTTAGGATTAACACCATCAGGAATGTTATAGAAGCGTTTAAATAACCTTTTACCTTCGGCTCTTATTTGATTATCATTCATTTTAGCTGTTCCATTTTTGTTCATTTATGTAAGAATAAAAATTAAAAAATAAAAATAAAGTTTATTTTTTTAAAGTCCGAGACTCAGAGAGTCCAGGGCTAAAGTCCATAAAATGAATTAAGAACACATAAATTTTTATCATCTGCGACGTGACGAATACATTTTAATTTACTCAAGAATGCGTACCCTGATACATTAAATCTAATTCCTGTCTTATTTAATTTCACAACTTTGAAAAGGAATGTATGAATAGCTATAAAATGATGAGATGATGTTTTATGGGTTGCTTCCATTTTTTCTGAAATAAATGAATAAATATAATGTTTATAAGTTTTCATATCTTTTATGTTCTTAATAACGAATGGTATAGACCTTTCCACTTCGTCTTCCTTCGGTGCTGTTCTTTCATATGAAACATTATTGGTATCTTCAATAATGAAACCACAATCGCATAAAATTTTATATGTACCAATTGTTTCTTTTGATATTTTATCTAACAAATCAAAAACTTTATCAACACCTGTACATTTATTTAAATAATAATTTGTGTAAATATCATGGTCTTCTTTCTTAATCGTATTTGTTGCATATGTTACATTTTTCAGTGCTTTTTTGAATTTTTCAGAATCAAGAGGAGGTGAAAGTAATATACATGGATAATCTCCATCGTCAATAAATTGTAACTTATGTTTATGAATAAATTTTGTGCCTTCTTCTGAAAGTGTTTCGTCAATATCACCATCTAATAAATTTTTAGTAGATTCCAAAAAGTAATTTTTATATCTTTCCTCATGTGATTTTTGAACTGCTGATTCTGAAGCTGGGATATTCATTAAACCCTCTACTTCATTCTCAGCATTTCTCAATTCCTTAATTTTTTCATCTATTTCATTTCTTAATTGTTCCAATTTCTCAATCTCATCGTTATAATATTCATCTTGTTTAATTTTTTCTTCAAAATATTCAGGAGGTGTTTCAAGGCTCTCTGAGCCCAGGTCCTCTGGACCATAAAGAGGAATATTCTTCTGTTTTTCAACTTTTTTGGGATATAAATATCTCATTATAGCCTTTTTAGTAATTGGTCCGTTATATTTAAATTCATTCAACAATCTGGAAAACTCTTTCACATTCTGCATATATGTTGGATAAGAACCGTCTCCAAAATTTTCTAAAATATTTTCTAATTCTGAATTAGTGAACTTTAAAGATTTCAATGAATTAGTTGTTATACTCATTTATTATAAAATAAAAAATAAAAAAAATAAATTTAACTTAGTTTTAATTTTACGTAAGAAGTCAATTTTTTATATACCGATCTTCACTTCGTCAAAAATATATTCTTTTTATTAATGGTAATATAGGAATTGTAGGAATAAAAACTTTTTATAAATTATTCATAAATTTTTAAAATCGGTTTCATACAAAATAAAAATAAATTATTCAAAAATGTAAGACATGAATTTTTAAAGTTTATTTTTTACTCATGAAAATAATTATTTCTAATTTCTTTTACTCTCTCGTACATACTAGATTTAAAGAATTCAGAACATTTCCCATAATCTCCTAAATGTTTTCTTATCTTATTGGTTTTCCATTCATTATATGAAACTGAATAAACTTTATTTTTATCTTTACATCTTTCATCACTTCCAATATATTTATATTTCAATTTTGATTTATTGGTTTCATATTCATTAACGTTTAATAATTCACAGTCTTCCTTTTTAAATAAATGTTTTATGTATTCAGGATTAAGAATTCTATAATATTGCTTCCCTTTAAATCTTTGAATATAAACAGGAACACCATCCTCTAAAATTCGATAATCTATTTTATCTGGTTTTACTTGTTGGGTCATTTATGTAAGAATAAAAAATAAATTATGTTTAAAATTAATGTTAAAAATAATGATACAAAATCGTTCAATATTGTATGAATTCTTACGTTTACAAAAAAAGTCACAAAACCCATCCTATACTACTACTACTGTGCGATAATTTCATAAAAATTCTAACTCAAGGCCTTTATAAAGTATTACAGCTAAATATACAAAATCAACTTATTTTTGTGTCTTAAACACCTCTTTTCCGCAGAATTTCCGAATTTCATTTTCAAATTCTTTCAGAATTCAGGGAAAACATATGAAAAATATTTAATATCAGCAAATATTTATCATTTACCTATGGTTCACTAGAGTCTGATCATTGGATATTTTCACTCAATGATCATCTATATGTTTTAAAACAAAATCACTATGAACAAGACGCAAAAAAGTGAAAATAGTATTCCAGCAGTTCATAGTGTGAATGAATTCCCACTGGCAGACAAGCCAGACGAAGCACTTTGTTGCACGCCTGTCATCAAGAACTGGGTCTTCAAGTTTGTACTCACGGAGAATCTATTGGTCCCCACGTGGAAGTACTCCGTTATGACGTCGACAGGATTCCACAATAGCTGGACCACGGTAAAAGCTTCTGAGTGTCCGATATTAATCCAAATTTCTGGAAGAGTTTACACCAATATAATAGCAGTTAGTAAATTTGTAATAACAAATTTGTTATAAAGAATAATCTTTATTCAAATGATTTAATAATCACCATCAAACTATTGCATCATCATTGTTTAGCTCCATGCGAAATAAGAAATTTAATCATTTCTTTATTATTCTTTTGAGATGCAAAATAGAGTGGTGTTTCGTGATAATTATTTGTAGCATTGATATTTGCACCATGTGAAATAAGAAATTCAGCCATTTCTTTATTGTTGTCTTCAACTACAGCATGAAGTGGAGTATTTCCTAATGCACCTGTAGCATTGATATTTGCGCCATGTGAAATAAGAAATTCAACCATTTCTTTATTATTCATTAGAGATGCTTCATAGAGTGGTGTTCGTGGATAATCATTTCCAGCATTGATATTTGCACCATGTGAAATAAGAAATTCAGCCATTTCTTTATTGTTGTCTTTAACTACAACATGAAGTGGAGTATCTCCTATTCCATTTCCAGCATTGATATTTGCGTCACGTGAAATAAGAAATTCAACCATTTCTTTATTGTTACTTTTAGATGCACAATGGAGTGGAATCCCTTTTATTCCATTTCTTATATTGACATTTCCACCATGCGATATAAGAACCTTTATTGCTTCTACACTGTTATTTTCAGCTGCAACATGAAGTGGAGTTTCTCCCAAAATCTTGCCAGCATTGATATTTGCACCATGCACTAAAAGAACTTCTGCTATTTCTTTACTGTTCTTTCCAGCTGCATAATGAAGTGGAGTTTCAGAAAAATCATTTTTTGCATCGATATCAGCACCATGCGAAATAAGAACTTCTGCTGCTTCTTTGCAGTCCAATAAGGCAGCATAATGAAGTGGAGTATCATCTTGTCCATCTTTAGCTTTGATGTTAGCACCATGCGAAATAAGAAATTCAACTATTTCTTTACTATTAGATAATACTGCCAAATGAAGTGGAGTGCTTTTAATGGAATATTTTGCATCGATTTTAGCACCATGAGAAATAAAATATTTGCAAAGGGATAAAAGATGGAAAATAGGTGAAACAACAAAGCATGTATCAATATCATTAGTTTGATCTAAATAAACCAAAAGTGCATGAAGATTATTAAACAACCTGCAATAGTCTACATCGATTTTAATATCGTATTCATTGTTCAAAAATGAAACAAAATCAATGTTATGTGAAGCAATTGCATATCTCATGCATTCTTTTGTTGGCCGTTGACATTTTAAGCATTCGCTTAAGATCTCTTGATTTCCGCCTAAAAATGAGAGATGAAGGCATTGTTGTGTTATTTTTGAGTGAAATTTTGTGATTAAGAACTTAAAACAATCAACAGATCCATAGTAACAGCACAATTCAAGATATGAATAACCATCTTTATTAGGTGGATATAAATCGTTCTTTAGTTTTTGTTTTTTATCAAATTCACATCTTTCGATGAGTGAGATGAATAATTCTTTGTCATCATCCATAATTGCCCTGTATATTGTATTTGCTTCATGAATGTCTGATGAATAATTTTTAGTTTCGCATTCCTTGAATTTTCTTTTGTTACTTTCTTGAAGAACTATTCCATATTCTTTATAAAAGAGATAATCAAAAGCATAATAAATGTTAACAAACGTATTTGGGTGATATTCATCAAAGATTTGTTTAGCAATAGCTAAAAACGACTTCATGCACAGGTTTTTATACTTTGAAATGAATGATATATCGGATATAATATGATTTGGAGGATATTTGTTTGAATCGATGAGATGAACTTTGAGATTTTTATAAATTGCAGCTATTTCGTTTTCATCTTTTGTTTTGAGCTGATATAATGAATCGAATGCATTGCAATAATTTTTATAGGTGCTCATCAATTCATTGTAATGAGACGCCATCAAAAATTTGAAAAAAAAATTCTTTTTTCAATTCAAAATTTTTGGAATCGAATTTTACAAAATTCGATTCCAATAATTTTGAAGATCAAAAGAATCAAATTTTTCGCGCTGACTTTTTCAAAAATCGAGGGAAAATTTTCTTGGCGACTATTTTTTTTTCTAGTATACAAAATGAACAAAATTTTAAACAATTTTCCAAGTCTTTGTTCCTCATTTGGGTTTCAATATATCAACCAGTGCCACAGATAAGGAACGAAGTCAACAATCAGATTATCATTCAAATACAGTTTTGAACACAAATATCAAGAGTCCTGTAAATGAACTTAATGTAAGCTGATATATTATATTAATATTAAAACTTAATGTTTAATTTCCGAGATAAAAATACAAAACATAATATTTTAGCTGTTGCATAGGTATAATCACCCTAATTTAAGCAAGTAGTTTCTTTGGTATATGAACAAAGGTTTGCGATGGCGTTACACAGGTATAATTATCCTTATTTTCTTTACAAATGCACATACAGAATCCAGCTTGATACTTTACGCCCTTTTCTTCGTAATTGCTATTCAATTTCTTAATGGTCCTCTTATACTTTGATTTAACAAGTATATTTTTCGGAATTTGGCCTCTCAAACCAGAACCAACATGTTCTACATGATACATATTGCCTTTCTTATCTATACAATTAACATAATCACCTTTTCTGACTGTCCAAGCCTGGTTTGGATCATGATAATTTTCTGTAAGTTCGTAAACAGCTTGAGTCAAAGAAATGTCATAAACAACATTTGGCTGTATATAATCGAATATGTTAAACTCTATTTCGGCAGCAGGAGTAATAAATTGCAACCTTGAAAGTTTTGAAGGACATTTAGTCGCCGGAAGTGGTCCGGAAAGGAATATTTGAGATAGCATGTCAGATTTAATTGGATGTGACTTGAAATGATCTGTGAATACCTTATTAATTATTGGCAATTTATCCAAAAGGTTTTGCATAACATCACTATACTGATCCAGTATGGTCTCGTAGGGTTCAAATAGGGCCTCTATTTCGAAACAGTATTGTCTTCTCGCTTTTCCTAATAAAAGAGTAAAATCAATACATCTCTGCTCCAATTCGGAACACTTAACCTTAAGCTCTTCAACTTTAGATATATCTGTTTCATTTTCTATCATATGGCATGTTTCGATATATTCATCGTATAAGTTTTTATATTCGCTTTCTGTAAGATCTAGTCGCAAGTTTGCCTGCTCAATGCCTTCTTCTGCATTGTCAATTACAACTCCGATGTCGTTTTGCAGTTTTATTAAGGGGACTTTTGCGTTAGTTTCGTATTCTTTTACGATAAGTTTAAAAGCTGTACCTTGAATAATGTTTACTTGTATCCAGTCATGGACTTGTTGAATTTCGGAAGATTTATGCGTATCTGAGCTATCTATAGCGCCATTTAAACTTCTTGATCCGTTAAATTCCATTAAAATCTGAGTTAGAATATCAAGAGTCTCAGCAACGCTTTCGCAGAGTTCTTTTTTTGATTTAAGGTCCTTTATCATTGCAAAACAGTAGTCATCATAGGGTTTCTTACTCATTTCAATATAGTGTCCAAATTCTCACAAAATATTTTCACAAGAAAATACATAATTTGATACATTGATCAAATTTAATTACGAATAAAAAGTATTTTCAATTTCGGCGTGTGAATTTTTTCTTATTGAATAATTTTCATGTAACGATTGAACTATATGCTATCTAATAAACGTATTACATTCATTTGGTAAATATTCAAATAAACGGTTTTTCTTCTCTCAATATTGAATTGGAAATTACAATACCATCATAGTTATCGAAGCTAATTATGAGTCTATTTTAAAAAAATGACCTCACTAACATAACCAGAAATTGTATACGCTGAAAAATCAAGGCCATTTCACAATATTCTTCATTTGATCTAGTAAATCGTATAGATATCGCTATCATTTGCTGATGAACTTTAAACACATTGCTACAATTCTTTAATTTCGAGTATCATTTTGAGGCAACTTCTTACATATTCTCTAGATCCAATAACATCGTATATAAACTAATAATAAAAGTAAGCTTCCGAGATGAAAATGCATTATCTCTAAGCATTGTAAAGAGGATAATTCTTAAATCAATGATTTTTGAAGTTTATTCATAACAAATTACAGTAATATGTTTTTAATTAGTTAATTTAGGAGATTCGGAATAGCACATTTTTGTTGTTGGGAGTTTTTGACTCTTCCAATGCAGTGTTTATGCTGAAACTCAATGTCTTGGAGTAATCTCATCCTCGCGTTTACCAGATATGTTGATAGCTGCTTTTGAGATACTCCATATTTGTCTGCTATACGTTCCTTCATGTCTTTGCTTGGATAAGGATTCATCCAATTCTGATAAATCCAAACCTTTAAGAGGTTTTTTAATTCTGAGGGCAAGTTCTTTCCTCTTTTAAGCTTCTTATTCCTTTGCTTGCCCTGTAATGAGTTAGTATTTTCATTACTTAATTTCATGTTTGCTATATCACTGTTTTCTTCAAATGTATTCTGTAAATCATTTGTTAATTCATTTTGATCTAAATTTACAGTATAGAATCGATCTATCATAGGGCTTGACAAATGTAAATAGTGTAGATCATCTAAATCCATGGATGTGCTCTCTAATTCATGGTTGATTCCATTTCCTGCGTTGAATATCATATCATTGGACGAATACAGTCCCTGTGGAATGCTCTCTAGCAAGAACAAGTCTTCTAACATCTATTCTGTTAAAATGATTTAATAAACGTGTGATATTTCCTCTGAAAACAAATTGATAGAAACTCGAAAAATTCATAACCAATTGAAATTTTTGATAGCGGCTCATAATGATAGTTTTAAAATTCTCTTATAAAATACTTAAAAAATTTTTGTTTTTGAATTGCTATCGAATTCACAGTCATCAAATTTTTATTGAATTTTTTGAATGTGATTTGAGCAATTTTGCCTAAACTCTAGTGTTCATTATAAATCAGCTTCGTGATCATAGAAATTAGAAAATTCCATCTGAACCATCAGAAAATGCAAATAAATTCAAATATCGTTAAATGCCAATCAAAATAAACTACAAAATAATAGACAGTATGAGATATACATACTTATTTAGAGTTTGTACCACTCCATCATGTTTGCTAAAAAATAATCTCATTTAAAACTCTGAAATATGAAGGATAAATGCATAAATATAGTCCTTTATAGTTAGAGTACGTTTGGATATGAACAATTGCGGGAAATTAATCAACCCATCAAGAAAAAAATATTGAGTAATGAATATTACTAAGGAAAAGATAGTACCAGATGTTGTATCTGAATAAGCCATTGCAAGCTAGGAATATTCTTAGGATATTAATGGGCTGTATGAACATCGAATGAACTTAGGTTTTCGAATTGGTCATTTTACAACGAAAAACATATGAATTGGAAGCTCATTCTAGGGTATTATATAAGTGCTCAACAAGGCACATCTATTTCATTAATTACTGATTGTTTTGCAAAATAACGGGCAAAAATCTCATAGATGAAGAAAACTCGTACTGAACAATATCAAACACAAACACAACAAAAAACATGGGAGAGAATGGATTTAATTTCCATGGTTCCGCTTGATATTGATCCAAAAAGTTCTTCTCCACCTCCAAAATCAGCTCTGGAGCAAAATTACAATGTTAAAATCAAACCATTATCTAAATTTGGCAAAATGCTAGATTACAATATCAAAGCCAATGCTCTTGAATCTCCAGAAGCTCCACCAGAATTTAATCATAAAATTACTTCCTATAAACCAGCATTTAAAGTACCAGAAAGTGCAGAGCCAGAACCTGCCTCGTACAAACCTAACTTTAATGCTGTTAAAAAATCAATCATTGGTTCAAAAATTAGAGAAATACCAAAAGAAAACGTTAAAGAAGGAAAAACCACGCAAAACATACTTAATTCATTCTCATTAGGCTTGAGAACCTTTGATACCACCAAATTTACCCATCCTGTCGCCGAACCGTTAAATGATATCGATAAAGCAAAGATTTTCCCACCAAAATATACATATAAATTTGAAGACCAGCCATCAAGAAATGATGATATGTTCAAAACAAGCTTAAATACCAAAGCTGACTTTTATATGGAGCCAGCTCAGCCTCCTAAAGGAATAGAGTTCGGAAAACAAGTTGGACGCAAACATTTTGTTAAAGCTGACGAAGGAAGAGATTACTCAGATCTTGCTGTTCCTCAATTAGATAAATTAAAAGAAAAAGCAATCGGAAACTTAAGTATGAGTCACCAGTTATCTAGAAATTATGTTCCACCCAAAAATGAACGTGTTGCCTTCTTGGACTCCCTTTCTAAAGAACAGAAACAAATGCTTGAGAGAATTCAACCGAAAAGGTCTAGATCCAAGGTTTTACTTCCTCCTAAGGAGACATTTTCTCTCCAGGCATCCAGACCAGAAGTTCTTCCTCCAAGACCTTACTCAGAGTCAAAGTTCCCAATTGACCCTCTGAAGAGCTTGAAATACATATGGCCAAAGACTCCTTCGATAAGGATTCCGAACTCTCCAAGAGAAGTCAAAGATTTCTGGAAAGCTGGAAAAAAATAATTTTATTTTTTTATATTAAAATTTGTTTGTATTTTTGCTATTTCCTAACATTTTTATCTAGATCTTAACTCCAAAATGAATTCCAGTGAATTTCACATTGATAATTTGCTTCATTCCGAATTACCTCAGGATTAACTGCATGTTATGATATTTATTTGAATATATAAAAAGAGTTGAACTGCAAATTCCTCATGTATTATTATAAGTAAGCTACCTTAACAAAATATTCTACATCTCTTCAAAAACTTTTATTTAAACACTCAAAATAGACGCTTTCCATTAGTAATTTAACCAAATCACCAATGAACTCAGATTTTAAATTACTAATGGTGATACACTCAAAATAGACGCTTTCCATTAAAATCTAAGTTTACGAGGATAATGTTTTTATTTAATGTTTATAATAAGAATTTTCCAACGGCATATCCGATCAATGAATTCAGCAATCCTCCGGATTTTTTCTTGATTACAACAGGCTCATTTTTGACAAAATGAACCCTTCTTGTTCCTGGGATTTCTTCATATTCTCCGAAACTTGCATCACCATCTGGGTTAATCTTGACGATTCGTTTGAATGATGCTGCAATCTGATTGTATCCTCCTTCAGTAATTTCAATCCAAGATTTCTCTGTTAATTCTTCGTGCGTCTTTGTCTCTCCAACTAGGATTTTGTTTTCGTTTTTGATTGACCAGTTACCTTCTTTCCTCTCATTGGTCTTAAAGTTGAATTTGACCTCTCTAACTAAGTCGTGTCTGATTTCGTATTTGTTTCCATTCTCATTTACGTATCCAGACAAGACGTTGTTTTGAGTTTCTTCTGTAACCTCTTCAATCTTTTCATTGTACTCTTTGACTGTTTCCCAGTCTGTGTAGTGGAAATCATTCTTATTACCATTAGGGATAATCTTGAGTCTTGCACGGTCGATATACTTTTCATAGGTGATTTTACCTTCTGTAAAAGTATCAACCTTGACTCTTTCCTCTTTTTCTTCTTCCGTAGAGTATCCGAAAGTTGCATCTTTGATTTCGGAGGAACTGAATTTCTGGCGGCTGACTGCCCAACCATGGAACAGAGTCATGCTTTGAACACAAAACTCCACATCAGGGGTTTGAGTATTTACATAATAGAATGGAATGTTTGGAACTGTTTTGGCTCCAGAAATTGATTGCAAATACTTTTCAAGCATTGGCTTATATTCCTTCTCCTTAATGTCTCTATCTGGAAATTCTTTCGAACAAAATGTCCAAAATACACAGAGATGAGAGAGGATCACATCTCCAAAGGCATCATATATGAACTTGACGACGTCCTTTACACCTTTTGTGAGTCTCAGTAGTTGGGCCTGTATGACAATTCCGATTGCGTTGATTCCAATAGGGAAGCTTTTTAGATATTGGGCAAGTCTTTGAATCTGCTCTTCTGTGATATGATCACCATCATCGAAGCCTTCTGTATCAATGACAATCCTCTCCATGCCATTTACGAGCTTTGTTTGCTGTTTAGGAACAAGAGTGCATGCACAAGGCTTTTGACTGGTGTCGAATATAGTGTCCTTTAAGTACAGGTTTCCAAGTGAACTCTTTCCTGATCCTGTATCACCAATGAACATTACACAAACATTGTTTTCAACATCCATGTTTAAAAAATGAACTGTCAAAATTTTAAAAAGGAAATTGAAACTATTCAATTTTTATCACCATAATTATTATTTAATTTGAATTCTCTATAAATATTTGATTATTTTTATTTAGGATGGTTTTTATTTGAGTCTCATTTCACTTTTGAAATTTTCCAAAATGGGAAAAGCAAATCATTTCATGATAATATCCCCCAAATTTTAAATATAAATGATTTTTATATTAAAATATCACAAATGATAAAATCACAATTCGGAAAAAAATTCAAAAAAAAATGTAAATCAAAAAAAGAGAATGAAGAAATTCAATGGCCTTAATTTCAATAAATTCATCCATCCTCCGGATTTTTTTACAATGAAACACATCTCTTCAAAAACTTTTATTTAAACACTTAAAAGAGGCGCCTTATCGTAGTTATTTAACTAAATCATGAAGATAAACCATTCAAAAATTGATAGGTAGGTATTTTGATTCACAGTTTATAAAAAAACAAACAATTATTTTATTCAAACATGATTATTTCTAAACAAATATCCCCAAAACAGATTTCCTTTGACATCACCAATTGTCACTGTATCTGTTTGTCTGTGGTAACCTATGTGAGTTATTTTCTCATCAGATCTAAAAACAACTCCAATCTCTTTCATATTAAATGCTTCGTACAAAACAACTAATTTTTCTTTGACAACACACAAAACATAGTCAATATCACAGTAATTTGTTGCAGTGCAGATATAAGATATCCTGTTCTGCATTGTCTTTTGAGCAACTTTGCATCCATTCAATGTATAAACAATCAAAGTGGATCCGTCCACAGCTTTCTGTGCGTGTGAAGCGCAGACAACAATGAGACCCATTCCGCTTGTTATTCTTACGATTGTCGGAATCTGTTCAGGCGGAAGACCCAAATCAATTGATCTGATGAACGAGAAATTGGAAAGAAAGCTCACGACGAGCAATCCATCCAAACTGCAGCTGACGACAACACCGAAACCACTTTGGCAAGAGCAGCACTTGATACAATCCGCGTGAGCCATGATCGATAAATTATCCTGGAGTTCTCCCTTTTCGTTGAAATCCCATTCGACTAAAATGGAATCTCCACCTCCAGTGATAACTTTCGAGCCATGGATGCAGAGAGAAAAGATGCTCTCGACGTGTTTCGTTGATTTGCTTTTGACAATGCTGCAATTCGATTTCACGCAAATCAAATCACTCGAATTCGCCGTGGAGAAAGCAAAATAAATCTGCTCTTTGTCGCCGGTCGCTACGACATTGATTTCGTCATAGACTTCTTTCGAAATCTGTGAAATACTCTGGTTATTGTTAGTAACACGACATAAATGAACTAAACCGTTATTTGACAATGTAAACAACAGAATTTTGTCATTTGCATTTTCTCCGACCAATTTGACAGCAATGATCGGATTTTCCGACATCTTTACATGGCAAAACGGTTTCTCGGAATTTCCGAAATTTCTAGGAATTCTCTTTTTATGCGGTTGGTCGAATAATTTTCTTGGAATTGACCCTACGTGATGCAGCATCTGTTCTATCATCAGTTTGTCATCTTCGCTTGGGAATTTCTGCCAGACATCTTGATACAAATGTGGATCAAAGGTATTGTCACTTTCTGACGCTGGCAAACCGTTTTGCTTATAACCCCAAATCAAGTCAATCCAATCATTTATGTGTTCTGACACAAAATCGCTTTCCAAAGCTTTCTTGTGCAGATAAATGAATTCCTCTGGCGTTTTTGCCCATTTTGGCAAAATTACATCGCCGTTCTGACAGCCAATGTCAAAACCGTCGATGTTTTTGAGGAATTCAGGGCAGAAGAAGAATTCTGGAGTCAATTCTCTGAAATTGTTGTTAGAACTTTTCACGTTTTCGTAACTCTCCGGAATGGAATAGAAAATTCTCGTCGGATGATCGAATTTTCCATCTTGTAGTTGAATGTGAGCGGTTGTAAACGGTTCTAACCTTATTAAATAATGTAGCACGTTTACGGAGCAAGAATACATGTTGTGGTACAAGAATTTCTCGGCGGAAATGGAGTTCTCGCTCATAAACTTCAGTTTCTTAAGTCTCTCAATTCCTAACGCGCCGATAGGTTTTGAGAGGTCTCTGAAAATTGAGGGATCATTGAAATCCAAAGAATCAATGTCATATTTATCAATAATCCACGGAAAGACTGGGTAGCACTCTATATTATTTATAGATCTACCAGAAAACTCATTTAGCCACATCAGATATTCGAAAGTGGAAATTTCGTAATTTTGCCACTTCGTAGTAAATTTTTCTATTTCATTTTGAGGAGAATTCATGTGGACAATCGCTTCATTGTTCATAGGAATACTCTTCAAATAATTTAATATTTTGTTGTGGTTATTGTCTATCTGACTAAAATTGAATAGATATGATCGTCTGGCGGTTGTGTAAACTTCAAAAGCGGTTTGTCTTTGTAAAACGTATTTCGGAATTATTCTGTGTATTTCGTCATGTTTTATTTCGATTGTTCTTGAGTTTTCTGACGAAAAAGTGTATCCGTTTACGTTTACAGTAAATGTTCCATGCTTTATCTTGTCAACTTGTATCATATCGCAAGGGACTTTCCATATGTAAGACTTTTCTTCAACAATAGGAATTTTCATTGTATCTGGTGGTAAATTGTAAAAAGTGTCAGAATCTGATCTGATCATGAAAGATTTCGATTGATCTCTTCTCAAAGAAGCCTCGATATGAGGATCGAACCTAGAATTCCTCTTCAAAAGACTTGGACACATCATTTTGTCGTACATTGCAAATCTCTTGTAATGTATATGCATTGCCAATTTCTTTTGTTTGAAGAAAGGAGATCTTTCATGAGAAATCGATGCCCAAAGTGTTCTCCATTGTCTGGAACTTGTTTCAAAGATGGTTTGTAATGGTTTATTTGTGTTATCGTCAAATTCATTAATAAACCCTTCAATTTCTTTTTGAGAGGGAATGGCGGATTTTTCAATGAGTTCTTTGAATAATGCAATCAATATTTCATCAATGATATTCATCTCTGAAGGTGGTTGGTCGCAATAGTTATTGAACGCATGGTATCCGTTCATGTAGATCTTTATATCGCTCCAGTTTTGGCCGAATTTCTTCTCAACTTCGTCGTAAATCGGTTTCAAGTAAGAATTGAATGGAATTCTTACGATGAAATATCCAACAAACATCAGCATTTCGTCATTCACGTCTGCTCTTGATATTTCGTCTTTCAGAATGGGTATCAATTCTTTGTAGTCATCAATTTTTGAATCTGGAGTGAAGAATAATGATAATAAAACAAAGATTTGCTGATCTAATGTATGTGGATATTTTTCTGACAAACTTGACATGTATTTGACGGTTTTGACGGCCAGTTTACGATCAATCCATCTACCTTGACTGTCCAATCTCTTGGAAAACACCTTGGAAGGTATCGCGTCTTTGTTTTTGACGTAATCTTGCATGATTTCGACGATACCAGGCAAGTTGGTCGAAAACGGTTTTACTTCCTCGAGGGAAATTTTAAACGGACAATTTTCCATGATGGACTTTAACTGGTAATTTTGGTATTTTTGGGTATGGAACATGATTATTAATGACAGAGTACCTGCAGCAATACATAATTCCTGCGACGGAGGCTTTGACATTACGATATCTAATACTTTGTCAACTAATTCAGCAGAAACGATGTCAATGTCAATATGGCACTTGTAGGAGATGTTTGATAATGCGTCTATACAGACTTGAAGTGCTAATGGATCATTGGCAACAATTTTTGCTACAATAGGAATCGAATTCAGTCGTTTTGAAATTGCCGAGTGTAATAAGATGCCAGAAAGGAAATGGAACTGCGTGAGATCGAAATTTGCGAGGTTTTTATCATTTTGGAATAATTTCTCAAGGAAATCAATGAAAAGTTCGCAAATTCTTTGAGGACTTACGATCATTGCTGCAGCTGCAAGCTTTATAAACAGTATTTTCGTGATAATGAGCTCATCCTTATGGATCATCTCTTCTAGCGATGTTCTTTCTGTGATTCCTATCGCGATTCTACAACAATTTACGAGAAAACACTTTTCGGAGTCATCAATTACTTCTTTCTCGTTTATAGGATTTGTAGCAATCATAAACGATGCTTTCTTTACTATTTCTGGGTCCATTGGCATCTGTGAAGGTGCTGATGCGAAAATTGAGATTAATTTTGATCGTACTGCGTCTATCGGATGGGCCAATAGTCTTATCCATGTCTCTCCGAACGGAAACATGTCAATTTTGAACCAACTCTGTTTAATAGCGAATTGTCCGAGTTCTAGGAACTGCATGATCTGTTCTACCGACGGACACTTCCATATTGAGTAGTATACGTAGTCTGACTCTTCGACTGTGCATGGTTTTTGAAGTAATTTCTTCAAGATATTGAGAATTTTCGATCTGAAGAACGCCAGCTGGCCAAGAACGTCTTCTGGCTCTTTATTGGTCACTGCTCTCTCGTTCTTTATGATTATTTCTAAGTTTTCGAACGTAGGAATGAGAGTTGAAAAAATTGTCAACATATAACCGAAGGAAATGAATTCTCTGTAGTCATCCGCACTCTTTTCGACAAGATCAGACCAATCAGACACAACACAGGACTTTACTTCCAAAGGAGCAAATCTCCAAATATCTGCATTGAAAATTATGCATTTTAGAAGCATTTCTCGCAGTGGTTGGAGCTTTATATATGTTAGTTGTTCCATAAAGAACTTCCAAATCGTAACTGTCAGATGAGATTTGGAAGAATTATACAAAAAATGAGCTAAAACAGAGTACATGTGGCAATTAAGCATTTGCGCACATACTATATCGGATTTCTTGATGAGATTAGTAACAATGGTCAATAGATTTTCAAAGAATTTCCTTCTTTCGTCTAAATTTGGACATTGAAAATCTAATTGTCCGAAAAGAGAGATGATAAAGTTAATGGAATGAGAGGCTTCGAATACCTTGAGGAAATTGGAGAAGAATCTGATAGGAGTTCCTGAGTAAATTTGATTTTTCGTGGCAATATTTGAAGGATCGAAGAAAAAGTGTTTGCTTCCAAACCTTTTCATGTTCTTCATGTCATTCTGGTGCTCGGTCGCCCAGTTCGCTATTGTCTGCATGTTCATTTTCTCAGGAAGTTTCAACATACTCGAAATGTTCCAATTTCCACGAGTATAAACGGCTGCTTCTTGCGATTGCAGTGAGAAGAACTTCTCTGACATCTCGTCGACATTAAACATCATGTTCTGAGTGAAATCAGGGAAATTTGGAAATGGTTTTAATGGAATCGTTTCAGATTCGTTGTCTTCGATGAATACAGCGATGTTTTCATCCCAATGTCTGAAAAGAACACTGAGATTAAACCATTTCTGTATAGGAAGCTCGATATTAAAATTAATAATTTTTTCTTCTTCATTTACGAGTTTGTACTTAATAACAATTGTCTTATTAACAAATAAGCATGTTAAGTAACTCGTTTTGGCTTTATCTGGGAAATCGAAGAAAAATCTTCCACAATTTGGAGAATCGAGCAAGATATTGGCGGAAACCATGAAGTCATCGGATGTATTTATCGATGGTAGCTCTGGAACTTGGATTCCAGAGAATTCTGAAGAGAATAAAATCATCGAAAAATGTTGAGGCTTTTCTGCACCTTTTACGATGTTCGCGAGGTGTTCAATGCATTCGAATACCCTGTTATTGAACTTATTGGCCTTTACACTTGAAAACTGCCTGAAAAATTGTATCAAAGCAGTATGATTCAATCCTGTCGTAGCAATCAGCTCAAAAATCTTGAGAATGGTTGGTAAATCTTCTTCTTCGAACTGTTCAAATATCATTGCTGGTAAGTGGCCGGCCAAACAAGCGCATCTATTACAAACTGAGTTTCCGCAGAACCTTAGGATATCATGGAGTACACTGGAGTATTCTTTAGAGCCTCTTGTTGATATAATTAACAAAGGAATGGCTTCTGGAACTGCAATTCTGTCAAAATTACAATCTCCGCCTGAAATTACTTTAACTATTCGATTATAGATACTTGAATCAACTCCTACCCTGTTCGCAACCTTGGCTATCGATGTGAATGGGATTCCATCGAAAACAAAATTTCGAACTTGCTGAATCTTAAGTAACAAGTCAAATCCAAGGCTAAGAGCAATGGGAGAACGCTCTTCTTGCTTTAGGTTAAGTATTATCGATATAATATCTGATAAAATTTCTGTATTTAAGAACATATCAGATAATTCTGTAATATCTTGGCCTATTTCATTAACTACCGTATCAACAATCGTTAGTAATAGGTTGAATGACTTACTGTCCGATATATTTGGTATTAAAGTCCAAATAATTGTATGAATTGAATTTATTAAGTTTGTAAATGACTTAATTGACTGATTTTTCGCAACTTCATGTATCATCTGTGAGATTGCTTTCGTAGTAAAAGGGATTGATGCAGGTTCGTATAAGAAATTTACGATAATTTCACAACAGTACTTTTCTTTCACAATTTGCTTGTAAGCATTCGGTAAACAGATTATTTTCGAGACGATTGTCATAAGCTGTGGTCTATACAATCTTGAATTTTTGAGATTATCAAAATAATTTTGTTGTTGAATGGCCAAAGCTATAAATATTGATTCCCATAACTTGTCATTTGCGTTTTCCACGGAAAATACTTGAGGAATGTTGTCATATGCTAACGCAATTAAATCCGTGAATAATTCGCTCTGAAAAGTCACCAGAGACACAATATTTGAGAAGCTCTGTCTGATTAGCGGCAAAGTTTTTTTGTTTTTGCCAAGTAAATTTAATAATTGAAATAAATTCTGTTTTAAATTCAAAATAGCGCTATTTGGAGTATCAAAGCTATTAATTGATGGATTAAAGAGTAGTTTGGGGAATATAACTTCGAATTTGCTGTTTTTAATAAAATAATCTCCAATTTCAGTGGAATAATCAGTAAGTTGTGAGATGATTATGATCGCAATGGCATAAAAATTAAGTCCTTCTTCCATAATATAGCTGATAAGGATCTCCAAAATGTTAGAAACGATTTCGAAGTCAAAATTTGATAATTGGAGGCCAGTTTCTTTGGAAAAGATCAACAATGGATTGGTATTTGCATCTTCTAGTGAATATAAGTCTTTAAATTTTAAGATTTTGTCATCATCTAAAATCATCTGAATTTTTTCATCATTTTCCACAAAAGTGGTCTGTAAACTATGATCTTTGGCCGATTCCGGTCTGAAATAATCGTCTTTTATCGTTGTATTGAAAATTGTATTTAATGGCGACATTTGTCGAAGAACATTCATGTAAGGAGTGCAATCAAATACTATATGCTTTCGTAGTGATATCATTAATTGTAAAACTGCGCAATTTAATGTAATTGAAACAGGATTTTTAGAGATATGATTAATAAGTTTAATTATTGAAACACTGAGCTTTGAAATTAATTCTTTGTCAGGATTTGTTGCCTTTCCAATAATAATTGCGGTAAAATAAAATTGATTTGAGATTAAATTTTCATTATTTGGATTATTATTCTCAAAAAGAGTATCTATTAGATTGAGTGTAATAGCTAAATGTGCTTGTAAGCAATTCGACTTAGTATCTGAGTAAAATTGTTCAACATCCTTTAAAACATCGACGTATTCAACAATTCGAGATAATTGGCTCGCAAATGAAAACTTTTCGAACACACCAAAGAAAAGATCATTAATATGCTGTGGTTGTGGATATAAAACAGAAGCAAATGATAAAGCTTTGATAAAATCTCGAAAAATTTCAGGTTCTATCTTTTCTATTTGCGTAAATAGTAAGCTACTAGCTGATCTTACCGCTAAAACAGCATAAATCTTCTTTTCTTGCGGTGATATTGATTGATCTTCAAGTTTTTCTTTGATTATGTGAATATATGGAGCGTGCATTTCAAATTTTAGGCAAAGAGTATCAACAACCTTCTGCGGAATAAGCTTCTTCTGAAACGAATCTAGCTTTTGCGCTTGCGGATAACCAGGAATTAAATTTTCTATCGATTGGTTGCCCTGTAACTCAATAGGAATCTCAAATATACTCTTTGCTAAACTTAAATTTTTATCAGGAATGGGAAAGTAGTTCGAGAAATACCGAAGAACACTCATTCCGATTAATTTCAATTCAATTCATTGAAAAATAAATAAATTTTTTATTAGGTATTTATGTTGAGAGGTTAACTCTTTAATAGGTTTTGCATCAAGGATGTAGATGCGCAATTGGGTGGCTATTAATTTGGTTCTTTTATGAAAAACATGGAATTGAGAAGCTAGAAAGCTAATCCAATCTGACAAATTACATAAATTATGTTGATTTTATATATTAATTGCTTACATTAAAAAAAAGTTAGATATTTATGATATATCTGAATTTCGTTTCATCAAGAAGTTAAAGATGCACCATATGAGCGAAGAAACATGGCTATAGCTCCATTGCCATACATTGCCGCATAATGAAGAGCAGTCATTGCATATTCATCTTTTTCATTAATATTTGCACCATGCGAAATAAGAATTTTCACGGCTTCTTTGTTATTTGTAATTACTGCCCGATGAAGAGCAGTTTTTCCATCATAACCTTCTTTTTCATTGATATTTGCACCATGCGAAATCAAAAGTTCCAAGGTTTCGGTATAATTATAATATGCTGCAATATGAAGAGCCGTTTCTCCATTATAATTTTTTGCATTGATATTTGCGCCATGTGAAAGTAAAAACTCGGCTATTTCTATATAATTATGGCTTGCTGAACAATGGAGAGCTGTTTCACCACAATTATTTTTTGCATTGATATCAGCACCATGTGAAAGTAAAAACTCAGCTACTTCTATATAATTATGACTTGCTGCATAATGGAGAGCTGTTTCTCCATAAATATTTCTTCCATCGAGATATGTGCCAAGTGATGCGAAATATATGCAAAGGGATGGAATATCAAATATCGTTGAATAAAGAAAACAATTGTAAATATTGTTTGTTTGATCGAAATGGACTAATAATGATTCAAGATTATTATACTTTGCACAATGATCTAAATTGATCCTTAAATTATATTCATTCATCAAGAATGTAACAAAATCAATGTTGTGCGAAAGAATTGCGTATTCCATGCATTTTTCATCTGGTTCTTGATATTTCAAACATTCATTAACAATCCCTGGATTTCCTCCCAAAAATGAAAGTTCCAGACATCTTTTTGTTATTTCTGGGTTATATTTCGTGATTAAAAACTTGAAACAATCAACTGCACCATAATAACAACATAATTCAAGTAATGAATATCCTTTATTAGAGTTTGGATATAGATAGCTTTCAAGATTTTGATCTTTGTTAAATCCGTCTCTTTCTGTGAATGAGATGAATCTTTCTTTGTCATTATCCATAATAGCTCTGTAAATCGTATTTTCTGAAAGAGGATCTAGATAATTTAGATTCATCATTGCGGAAATATCATAAGCACCTAAATTAATTCTATATTCTTTATAGAACAAGTACCGAGGAATAATTCCAACATCCGAGACATCTTTTACATGATATTCATCGTATATGAGTTTCGCTAGAGCCAAATATGACTTTAAATAGCGATTATTAAATGCAATTGTATCTAAAATGTGTTTGAGAATATTTTCAGGAGAAGTTGCCTTTGAATCAATCAAATTGTTTTTAATCATTTCGAAAATGGAGTTTAATTCGTCTTTATTTTCCGCTTTTAGCTCATATAATGCAATATATTAAGGATGTCAATTTGGAAGAAAAGTGAGAAAATTCCTAAAATGCTAAAAATGAATTTTCCAAACGTATTTGTTTATTTCATTTTTTTGATTTTGAAAAAAATTTGGAGAGAAGAACTCTTCGTTTTTGAATTTTATCACGATGGTTTTAAAGTATATTAGACACATGTATTGGTATTACTATTTTTGTATATTTTGAGAGAAAATCCCTAAAAAGTGAGAAAATCTAAGACGGTTTGAGAAAATATATAAACTATTGAAAATTTGAATTAAACTTCTAATTTGGAAAAAAGAAATTTGGAAAGAAGAAAATTCAAAAATCGAGATTTAGACTCAGCATCAAATGGAGAACAAAATGTTTCTTCATATGAAGGAAAAAAATTTTCTTGTGAAGAAATAGAGTTTTTAAAATTTTATTGTATGTAATGAAATAAACAAATATTAAAATTATTTTTTGATAACAAGAAAATTCCCAATAGAAAATATTTGAGAGAAAGAAAAAAATGAAAAATATTACTCTCCTTTATATTTCATGAGATTTTAAATTTATTCTCATAAAATTGACAATTTTATACGTTTAGATGAAAATAAGTGATTTTGGTTGAAATAGAAATTATTATTTGCTTACAGCTATCAAATAGATTTTTGCTATTTTGATTAAAATTTGTAAATCAAATTAATAAATTTTTTCTAAATATCTTAAATATCTGGATCACTCACATATACAATGAATTGAACGATAAAAATAATACAAACTCAACTAAGTTTCCTGTCTTTCAACTAAAAAAAATTATGCAAATTAAATTAAATTAAATTGTTTATTCAAATATAAAACAAAGATGAAGTAATTACAGTTATCATAAACTTTATGAATAACTCTGTAATTGGTTCAGATTTTCGTAAAAATATTTTTATTAATATCGATAAGAATACGTTTACCTACTATCACAACATATCGATAAACAAGAGTAGAGTGATTTTTATCATCGAAACTTTTTAAAAGCTGTAAGCTGGAAGGAAAAATCTTGTTTTTTCTGAGTTAGTTGTAGAACTATTGATGCACGAGTTATCATTGTGATGTAGAAGGATGTCAATGTACTGACTGAAGGATATGAAGTGAATTGAATTTCATTGAATTTCAATTTGATCAAAATTTGTTGAAATGATATGAATGTGTCAACATCTGTATCACTCTCTTTCACTCCTTCCCTATTCTTTCGAGAACGAAGCTAGCTCAGCTTTCGCTGAGCGAATTGACACTTTTCATGCCCTAAACGTACATACTCTCAAATTTATCGAAAAAAATTATACCACCTAAACTAGTATATTCTTATTTTAAATATGATATTATCCTTAGAATCCACACTAGAATATATTTAAATCAACTTTTAAAAAAGTTCGAATCCTGCGCGTCTCACTTTTTAAATTTTCCAAAAGGAAAATTATATTCTCCTAAAATGAAAACAATTTTCCGAATTGACATCCTTAATTAGTGTCTAAATCATCAGGTCTGAGGACTTTATCTTTTGTGAATTAACGAATGATTTGAATTGAAATAATTATTCAAAACTGCCATTAAAAGAAAAATGTTATTTATAATACCACTGATTTTTTTAATAAACTTCATAATTTGAGAGGCATTCAAAACTCTGAATAAATCACTTTTTCAGTCCCAAATCAAAATTTGGAAGATTAATTATGCGATATTTTGCTGTCACTGCGGTTGTCAAGACCATAATTACATTCTGGCAGCAGATTGGCACTACCATTGATTTTAATTTAACAATGATGCCCGAAAATGTTTCAAAAATTGTTACATGGGTTGTTAATCTATTAACAATCATCATTAAACTACTTCCATCCATTCCAAATTTTGATACAAGAGGTATACTTGTTATTATTTCATTCGGTGTTCCTCTTGCAATTGATTTGGCCACGGTCTGGTTTGTCAAGCCATTTTTATTTGCAATATTACATATTGTTGATGTTATTGCGTTAGTTTTACTATCATATTCGATTGCTGTTTTTGTTTTTGGCAGTGCAACAACACTTTACATCCTATTATTCACATTTTCATTATTATACATAATAATAAGATTCACAATATACTTATTTACAAGAAAACCAAAGAAAATGACAATACAAGAGATCGTTCAGGATATCAAAAATTATTTTCTTGCAGGAATTTTACCTGATGTCAAAAACAACAAATCATTCTTTGAGATCGATTCAGAACTACGCGAATTTTCAGGTTACATTGAAATTAGTGCTATTGTTCCAAAGATTTGGGAACCAATAGCATATGTTGTTTCTTCAATTGTAATTTTGATAGTATCATTGATATTAGGTGTAGTTATAAAGATCCCTGGCTTTAAAGTACCAGTTATTGTTCGTTCAATTTTGCCATTTATTGGATACGTCTTTGCAATTATTACTTTCATTATTGGAATTCTTAAGTTTTTCCTGTGCGGAAACAGGTTTTTATTATCAGTTAAGAAGTTTGCAAGAAGATGGGCAGTTTATTTGATGATGTTCCTGCTTTCAATGCTCTACATCCCAATCATTACATCATCCTCTGACTCTGTCGGTGTCACGAAGTCTTCTTGTCCAGTTGGAACTTTCCCAAATAAAACTAAAAATTTGGACGATCCTTTTGACATGTTTGTGTCTCATACGTTCGAATGTTTGCCATGTAACTTAACAGCACATGTAAATAGCTCGTATTGCTCAGCAACGTGCAACGGAATTAATTTTACATCAATATTAAAAGAAAAAGACCTTCATTTTGTTAATGATGTTCTGTATCCATGTTTGCCGGCAATGATATATTGTTTAGTGATCTTTGTTCTAGGAATTCCGTTTCTTTGGTGGTATATTATTTACAAAAACACAAAATTGATGAAATTAATACCAGCATACGGATATTCCACTGAAGATAAATGGAATACTCTTACAAGCAGAATGAAATCAACAGGAATTTATCTTTTTGACGAATTTCGTTACAACATGGAATTCTGGAGCATTTATGACTTCTTTGCCAAAGCTATAATCGTCATAATTGCTTATTTGGCCAAACATTTTGAGCCAAAAGTCGTATTTGGATTTCCGATTTATTTCTTAGTTTTCTTTGTTGTTCTTTTAATTGTTACACCTTACATCTTCAAGCTCAATAATATATACGATATATCTTTGTACTTTTTCAACTTCCTTTTCACAATTATTCCATTAATGTATCATTTTGGTGTTAAAATACCAATTTGGCTCTTCTATGTTATTTGTGCATTAGCGCTTGCTATTCCTTTCATTATTATTGCTATTCTTGTCGTTGTTTTCAGACATAAGAAATCTCATATCAACAATTTTGATCCAACCATCGTTAAAAAGCTCTCAAAACGAGAAGTTGCTGATAGAAATGCCAGAATTCAATCAGGAGCTGCTGTTTCAATGGATAAATTTTTCATGCCAGTTTCTGTTAAGAATAACATGAAAAATGAGGATAATAAACCTCGCGGAATGCAAGGAAATAACAATGACAAGCAGAAAAATGCCGAAGAAGAGGAAGAAAAAGTTGAATATTATCTTGATAACAAGAAAGACGATATGGATGAATTTTCCGATGAAGAGTTCAAAGGAGCCGACTTCTATATGGGAGATAATGAAGGAATGGCCCTAGATAACCGTAGAATGAGTGTAGATTTAAGCGAAAAATTATCTTCACCAGAAGATGCGAAAGAAGGAAAAGTTTCTGCGAGTGGACAGCTTGAAATAGAAGAAAATGATCGGATCAAGCTTGAAAACCTCAAAGAAATGTTGAATATCGACGCATTTGTTTATCAGAACTTGCCAGAAGACTTTGACACAATCACAGCATCAATTCTATCCACAATTGAAGAAATAGATGCTGCCAATGCAGATCTTGACAACTTTGTTCCCCTCAAAAAAGAAAATATCTTCTCAGTCAACAAGCACATGCTTGCAAGAAGAATACAAGCCATGTATCAAGTCATGGACATCATCCTTGACGGTAATACAATGGAATATTTATTCAAAATTCTAAATTTAGCTGTATTAGTAGGTTCACTTATCTTTGGATGGTATAGTGGATCAATCATACAATATTATAATCGTACCTATGAAAATTGTAATTAAATATCCATGGTTATTTTATATTTACTTTTATTTTTTCTAATTTTAATATGACTATTTAGCTTTTTGCTTTAATACATGTAATAATTCCTAGAAGGTAGCTTCAATATCTCTTCTAAATTAGAATTTAGGTATATTAATTTTATGTTATAAAACAATTATCGATATAGATGAGTTTTCTGATGATAAATTCAAAGATATCGATTTATTCATGGAAGATATTAACGAGATAGCCTTAGATAATCAATGAATGAGCGAAATTTTATAATAAAATCTGTCACTTTTATTCGTTTAAAAATTTAAATATGAAGCAAAAACTTGCTGTTTATGTAGCGCTTTTAGTTTTTACTTCATGTCTAGATTTCGGTGTTCATACAATATATGAGCCATCCGTATGTAAAACAGTATTTGATACTGTTATTATTGCAATGACAAAAATAGTTACAATTCTTTTCCAATTCTTTGCGTGGTTTTTCATGATTTCTTCACGAAGAATAGTTAGGATTAGTGGTTTCGAATCTGTTTTTAAGAATTTCTACATTCTATTCATAACTACAATATTTGATGTACTTTTATTCTTAGTATATGTTGTTATTCTTTTTACATACATTGTTAATGGGGCTGGCTTGCCTCAATTATGGAACAAATTCCTTCTAATTACATTTTTCTCTTTACAAAGGTTAGCTGCTGTAATACATTATGGCTTTTCAATGTTTTATATGATCAAAATTGCCTTAGATCCTGTTCAGTATCTATGACCATATTATTATATTGTTTGTTTTTTTGTATATATAAAAGTATTTGTTATTTATTCTATTATCCAACAGAAATTGTTAGTTACATTCGTTTATTGACGGCTATGTATTAATACATATATTGTCATATGTATTAATTTTCAGTATATCAAAAAAAATTAATCATACAGAAAAAAATTGCCGATAGTTGCATCGCATTGTCACCAATATTGTATCATGTACGATGCACCTATACTGTTTGAAGAATAATCAATAAAAATAGATATTTGTTATAAAATATGAAGTTGTCCAGTAGAAAGAGCAAGCGAAAGTAGATTTATTACACACAAACAATGAAAGCTATAATAATTACGTGGTCATATTCATATGATCGATCATAAAAAATCTGTTGTTTCGTTATTTATAAAAAAAAGGAATAGTTAATTACGTCGAATATAATAGATAACATATTTAATACATAATAAAAACATTACATATAAGGTCTGCCCATCATAGGCTGCTGATAAGGCTGATATTGTTGTCCCATCATCGGCTGTTGAGGATATTGAGGATATGGTTGTCCCATCATAGGCTGCTGATAAGGCTGATACTGTTGTCCCATCATCGGTGGCTGTTGTGGATACTGAGGATACTGTTGTCCCATCATCGGCGGAGGGTATTGTGGGTATTGTTGATTCATCGGTGGTGCGTATTGCTGGTTTACAGGAGGCGGTGGATATTGGTTCGAATGCATGGGCTGATTGCCCCAGTTCTGTTGATATTGATTATATCCTGGGAATGCTCCTGCCATAGGATTTCCCATTAGCTGACTACCCATTTGCTGAGGTTGCATCATTGCGTTTGACATGGCTGCACCCTGTGAGAATTGAAAAGGCGTCATTCCATGATGAGCGAGATGTAAAACTAATCGAAGGCGGCCACCTTTACTGATTCCTTTTACAGGATTCATGCTGTACCACTTATCGAGTACGTAGCCAACGCTCAATGTTGATATCGGAATTTGTAATTTGGATATAGGATCGTCCGCCATTCCTCGATCTCTGTCTTTCATAAGTATGTGCAACGAATCTGTAGATTGATTTACGACTGTAAAATGGAATTCTTCGTTCCAAACTGGTGTATATGTATTTGTACAAACTTTAGTCTTTATAGAACTTGAAGAGCTGGACATCTGTAATATACAGTAAGGGTCTGCCTTACCGAATATGTCCATTTTCGGGATATCTTGAGCCTCCACTACTCTAACATGGAGCTCCATTTGGATCCTTGAAAAGAACCAAAGATTATAATCTTTAAGGTTCTCAAATTTTTTGTGTATAACAACGAAATACATTCAAAATGCTTTCAAAAAGTCGAAAAAAATTTTAACAAATCTTGCTCCAAATAATGGTATATGTTACATTATACGGTAAAGCAAAAACGGTTTTTTAAGGCAGCTTTTTTTATTTTAAAAACTTTTTTCAGCAACGGCCGTTGACTATCAAAAATAATATGATAATCAGATTAAGACAAGGTACAAAATGATCATACTTTTGCATTAAAATGTGATAGTTTTTTTGCAAAGTGAATTGCGGTGAAAAATGCCTTGAATCTGAAAAAGTACGAGATTATTCGTATTTATGTTAACTACAGTGGGGAAAGATTCAAATACTCAAGGAGAAATCAACTGGACAATTTCAAATTACTCAAACTTTGCATAAAGGCTATTTATTCAGTACATAACAATCATATAACAATTTATTAATATTATGGGCATAATAACGTTCTGATTAATTGAATTTTATTTCACCGGAGATTATATTTTTTTTCTCAAATATTGGATTTATTATTTCTGATACTAAGGCACAGCTTTCTTTTGCAAAACATATATTGAAAATACCACGAGCACTTTCTTATCTAACTGCCCGCTACATCGTTTTTCAAATTTGTGATTGCACCTATTTAGGGCATTTATCCAAAGCTATATAAGTGTGTATTATGCTTTTATTAATATTTATTTGATTAGTTATGTGATTAATCGCTTTCTTTATGCATTTTCAAATGATCGGAAAAGTTTGATTCAAAAATAACTGATATAACTATATTATTAACAATTTATACATACAAACAAAAAGAATTAATCAAGATCTAGGGAAATTTGTCACCATCATATCGGTGAAATCCCTTTGTTCGTTCTTTGGCCTTTCCTTTGGCAAAGGATGAGGCCTAATCGGTCTAGTCACTCTAGGCCTTTCTATTGGAGGCAATGATTCAGTGCTTCCGCCACCACTAAAATCACTCAAATTTAATCCGTTGATTTCTCCATCAAAAGCGTTCATTCTTGGTCCCTGACGCTTTGTACCACGAGGCTGCATGTCATCATCAAAGTCTGGCGGCGTCTGGAGATACTGTAAATTACTTTCGTGTCTTTCAACGATTCTTACACGAGATTTCATGGGCTGAGGTCTTACATCTGTTTGCGGAGAGTTTTTTCTTGGGAAATTCGATGGCATTTCCGGTAATTCTCCCATTCCTAAGCCTGTAATTCCGCCTTCAAAGTGGGGTTGCTCTATTTTACGACGAGGAGGGATTCCTCGTGGGTTTGGTCGAAAGTTTGATCGGACTGCTTGCTGGCTGTTAACTGCCCTTGGCGTAGAATTGACTTCTCCATGAAAATTATTTGATGTAACCGCTAAATCAGGCGTTGCTGGTATTTTGCGTGTTGGCCTTGCATTTCCTATGATTGCTGCCGCTGCAGCACTACGTGGATTCGATGGTTTCGGTCTAGGTTTTGTAGAATTTTGAGTTTGTCTTGGTTGATCGAGTCTAAGAAGTAAATCGTAGTCATCTGGCGAAATTTCTCTGGTCATTAGTTCGCGAATTTCTTCTGGTGTGAGATTCGGTGGTTCATCTTTTGGTAGCTTCTTTGGAGGAGGATTTATGCCTAACATGTCTAATTTCGTACGACAAATAGGGCATGTAGGTTCTTCTCTGTAATCTCTACGTGAATTAATCCATTCTTTAACACATTTTCTGTGGAAATTTCCACCACATCCGCATCTGCACCAGGCAATTTTTGATTTATCACAGTCACATAGATTGTCGTAACAAATTGGACAAACATCTTCTGGACCAATTGGCAATCTTTTGACTTTTGTCTTGCCTGATTTAGTTTTGTACTTTTCTTGAGGTTTTCGTGGCTCAACAGCGCGTGTTTTTCCATCAATAATCAGATTTACTTCGTATTCTGATAGTGGTTGCTTAAAAAGAATTGGATTGTCCTTAGGAACTCCGAAATATTTCATTAATATGTATATAATATGGATGCATAAGTCGTCGGATTTGCATGTACATGTATGTCTATCACCAATGTTGACTGTAAATCGTTCTTTTGAACCCATTGGTTTGACAATAAATTTTGTGACGCCTCTAGGATCTAAAATAAACCTTACATTGCCTCCTTGGACTTCTTCAATACATTCGCGCACAGCTTCGCTCATGACTTCGCCTGGGCGAGGTGCGCGATGCATCAAATTTAATAAATTTGAAACGTAAGTTTACACTCATTCAAATAAAATTTATTCATTAATTTTATATTAAATTGAGTAACATATTTTTCATACTTTTTTTAAATATCAGATTTGAATGGTTTACAATGTTAGTAAAAATTGCATTGTTGTTTCATTATAGAGGTAATATTTTTAGATTTCGATATTGGCAAAATTATTTCTTACGTATATACTATACAAGCTTAATCTTCGGTATTCAATTATAACAATTAGAGAATTTCGAAAGATAAACTTATGTTAAACGTCCCATTTGCTTCGACATTTTGCTTATATATGAGAATAAAGCAGAATACTAAGTTAACTATAACATAGTTGTAAATTTATCTTTTTTGAAATAGCCACAAAGTATTTTTAGCATAATTAAATAAACTATTTATATCTCTAATGAATTAACAAAATAAATAATAAATAATAAGATTATTTCTTTGATTTGCTTCTTAAGAATCTAAACTTCGGGAACCAGTATCTTGCAATTATTCCAACAGGAATAGCCATTGCAGCATCAAAGAATGCGCAGATCCATTGCATTAAGTTGAGAGGTTCGCATGCGAAGAATTTTGGAGTAAATTCAACCAAAACAATTTGGATCAAACAAATCAACAAGAAAATCAAAATAAACAAACCATGGAAAGCGCCCTGGAAAGCGGAATCATTTGGTTCAGCCGCTCTGCAGTTAAACAAATTAAAAGCCTGTGACAAAATAAAAACAGTGAAAACGAATGTTTCACTTTCTTTTTGTATTTTCGACAAAACAAACATAGTCAACAACTGGAAAATTGTTTGAACAGAAATCTGATAAAACATGAAGAAAGAAATCAAAGGAGAAGAAGGCGGAATAGGAGGTCTATTCAACAAGTTATCACTTGGTGTTCCCGTTGCCAAACTCAACGCCCCGAGTGAATCCATGATTAAATTAACCCATAGCAATTGAACAGCTTTGAAAGGAGCTGTTTGAGAATAAATTGCATCAAATGTTGATATAATTAATGTTACAACATTTGCAGTCAATTGGAATTGCAAAAATCTTCTTATATTATTACTAATACCTCTACCCCAAACAACACTTCTTACTATAGATCTAAAATCATCATCCAAAATACAAATATCACTCGCCTCTTTCGCTAATTCTGTTCCACTTTTTCCCATGGCCAAACCAACATCAGCTGCCATCAAAGCAGGGACATCATTTGTTCCATCGCCTGTGACAGCAACTATCTCGCCCGCCTGCTTGAAAGCATTGACAATCATGTGTTTGTCAAGAGGTGTAGACCTGGCAACAACAGAAACATCTTTAAGAATTTCATAAACGTCAGACGGTTTCAAACCGTTCAGTTCACTTCCTGTAATTATTTTATAACCATTTTCAAGGATACCTACATCTGTTGCTATTGCAGCAGCTGTTGATGGATGGTCGCCTGTCAACATAACAACTCTTATATCTGCATTTTTAACAGCGGAAATTGAGCGTTGCGTATTTGGTCGAATTGTATCTCTTATACTAAAAATTGCCAACAAAATCAAATCATTTTCAGCATCATTAGCTGTTAATGGTTTTGTTGGACATTTCTTGTATGCTAGTGCTATTGTTCTGAATGATTGTTTTCCTTCTTCAATCACTTTTTGTTGGAAGAAATTTCTGTTATTTTCTGTCATTTCTTTTATCAAACCATCATCATTATAAAACTTTGTACATTTCGGAAGTAACAAATCGGGAGCTCCTTTTGTATGTACAACAATATCATTTCCATTTTGAATAATTGTTGACATCAATTTTCTGATTCTGTCAAATTGGAAACAATGTAAAATTTTCGCATTGTTTCTTATGTTTTGCCAATCAATTCTCAACGCATTTGCAGAGAATCTCAAAAGAGCACATTCTGTTTGGTTGCCAATAGAACTTGCTCCATCTAATATGGCATGGGAATTGACAACAAGGCCATCAACAAGATTTGACATAAATTCTTTGTCTTCTCTCAATTTTGATGGCAAATTTGTGGTGACAGACCCTGCAATAATCATTCTTTCTATATTCATTTCATTTTTAGTTAGTGTACCTGTTTTATCAGTGAGAATGACTGTTGCACTTCCCATTGTTTCGCACGCTTCGAGTCTTCTGACGAAATTGTTGTCTGTCATCATTCTTCGCATTGAATAAGCCAAAGAAATGGTTACCGCGAGTGGAAGACCCTCTGGAACAGCGCAGACGACAATGGTTAAGGAGACAACAAGCATGTCAAGGGGTTCGCGAAGTCTGGCGATGGAAAACTGTTTTAATTTGATTTCATGGTAAATCCAAGGAATCAAGATACAAATGAAGGCCAAACTGGCAAATCCCATGCCTAGATAGCCAATCTGTTCTGCTAGAACAGATAACTTTTCTGTAAGTGGTGTTTCGCGAGATTCTTCATTTGCTATGGCGTTTAATGCTTTTCCTTGCTGAGTTCTTGTGCCAACGGATGTAACAAGGAATGAACCACGTCCATCTGATACATGTGTGCCTCCAATAAGGAATGGATCTGTTTCTGATTTTAATACGGCTTCACTTTCGCCTGAAGCGACCGATTGGTCAACATATAGATCTTCTGAAGTAAGAATAACACCATCAGCTGGTATTTTGTCGCCTGGCTCCAATATAACGACGTCTCCAACTACGATATCGAGATTTTGGACTTGAGTTGTATGGCCATACCTTATGACTGTAACTTTGAAGATGGATTTGATGCGGTTGACTGCAGCAAATTGCTTTTCTTGGTTCGAATTCGAAATAGTTTGAACGATTGAAACAATTGCAACGGCAATTAGGATGGCTCCACCATCAATCCATGATGTACTACGTTCTTCTGGTGAAGCAAATGTAACTTCAAGAATTAAACTTAAAATAGCGCAAATAATTAAAATAATGAGAGTTTTATCTGAGATTGCATCCAAAAATATTTCGCAAAATGTCTTAATTTCTCGAACTGGTAGATCGTTGTGTCCATATGAAGAGAGATTTTGATTTAGTGCTTGGTTGTTATTTAATCCTTGTTGAGGATCTGAATTTAAACTTTTGCATAGATTCACTGGACCTCCATATTCGTTATTTAACTTGTTAATATCGAATCTTTCGGTCATATCTGCGAGATCATCAGGAGATAAATTCACCATACAAATCTGACACCAGAAAAAAAATTTCGTATCGAATTTTTTCAAATCGTTTTATGGTCAAATGGATTTCGATTTTATATAAAATGGATACAAATAAGAACAGTACTTGAAGATGTAGATTCACACTGTCTTGCATTATTTTTGATAAGAAATTCAATATTTCGAATTTACAAATTAGGAAAAAAACAGAACTCAATATGCCAACATAGCGTATAATTTGTCACCAAATGTTGGGCCTCCAAGAATCAATAGCATAAGATCTAGTTATCTACTTGAATACTCTTTTTTGGTTCACTCAAATTTGATGAGAGCAGTCTTACCATTTCTTTATTATATAACTGATATCTGCGATATAAATAGATGTTCCTATATGGTAGTGTTTTGCTCTTATGTTAGTATTATTGAAAATAATTATTTATTTAATTCGATTAGATTGTGATGAGTTGCAAAATGACGATATGTTGTTCCATTCATCTTTTGCATCAACATCATCACAAAATGAAATAAGAATACTAAATCTTTTACATATAAAAAATTAAAGGTAGTCTCACGAGAAAACTGACGGTAAAAATTCGATGAAACCAGGTGCATTGTATAGTACATATATGTGGTAAATAAATGTCGATTAGCTTTGTAAAAAATATCCCACAGTTTTTGAGATCTTGAAAACGGCCATTCAAAAAGTCGAAAATTTTCGCGAGATGTTAATGGGCAAGACAGTTTTTCGACAAATAAATCGTAAACATGGGAATTAAAATAAGGCGTTATATTACATATATGGTAAAGAATATGGATGTGAAGAGCGTTAGTAGAATGGAAAGACTTTGAAATTTTAAAAAATTTATCTGGACTAAAAAATTATTTGATTATAAAAAACATATTATATATCAATTGCTATATAGAACTATCATAACAGATTTTGGAAAAGCCGCAAATCCCCAAGTTGGAGAATTCATTAAATACTAATTATTCAGCTTTTTATCAGAAAGGAAGGTAGTGTAGTGGTTAGGAACACTATGCTCTTTTTGAATCTAAAAGGCAACTGTTCAAATCATAACATCTTTGTTTTTTTTTCTTATTCTGCCATTATTGTTTTTCCTTGTTATGATTCAAATTAAAAATATTTTAGTAAAGGTATTTTGGACATCATTTTTTCACATTGTCTCAATGCAAATGTTTGAAAATTTTGTAGGCAATATGACAACTCTTTCAACATTTGTTCTTTTATTAACTCAAACAGATTTAGGATCTAATTTCATGCCTTCGAAGACATTTAAACCATCTTCAACATAATTTATTGACAAATTGATAACAATTACTCATGAATGTCGTAGATTTAATATCCTGTCACTCAGCAACAAATTCGGGTTCAATAACAAAGCTCAGTAAAAACTTTACAGAAATTCTCCAATTTATTTTAGTGTCTTTTTGCGTCATTACGGCTGCATTTTCTTCTGCATCTGAACGCTGTGTTTGGAAGAAGACGAAATACAGAAACTTTCAACACAAGTAATCAGATTTTCTTGTCTTTCATGTTAAAATGCTTCATCTCGCTAGGTATACGTCATTTATTGGATGGATTGTTAGCTTTGTGTCCAAATAGCAAAAAAAAAGTATTAATTTAAATTTCGCATTTTGCATAAGTATACGCTTTAATTTATATCAAAACAGATTTAGATAGCTTAAAACAATATAGTTTACTCATAAATACATCTTGATAATTCACTTCTTCAATTTTCATAATCTTATATCCTGACCTATATCCTCTTATAAACCATATTTCTACTGAGATCTTCTTAAATCATCTTTTTATCCCTATCTACGCCTCGAAACCCTATTTTTCCGGCGGAATATGAATCTTCGGGTCTCGCTGATTCGATTTCTGCAGTCAGATCGTAAAAATACCCACTACATAGCCTGATAATCTCAATTTAAGTTCCTTAATTTTTTTGAAAAAAAAATTAAAACACCCTTATCAAACATCATGCTCATTTTTACGAATTTCATTTTTCCTTTAAGTTTAAAATATACGCTTTTTAGCATGTTTATAATACATTTTCAATTTACATTTACATTTTTATTTTTGAATTGTTTATTTATATTTCCGTTTGAACAATAATATTTATTGAAAATTGTGAGAGAAACGGATATAATAAAAAACACCATACAACAAAATTCACTTTTTTTCATACTTACGCGGATCACTCCTTTTCGGCCCAATATGCCGGAAATGATAAAACTCTCAGATCTAGTTGCTAAGATCCAAACTCTCGACTCTCAAATCTACTTCCTCAGATCTTGTTGCTAAGATCTACTTCCTCAGATCTTGTTGCTAAGATCTACTTCCTCAGATCTTGTTGCTAAGATCTACTTCCTCAGATCTTGTTGCTAAGATCTAAACTCTCGACTCTCAAATCTATTTCCTCAGATCTTGTTGCTAAGATCGATCTATTATACTCACTTTTACTTAAGCAATATAGATCACCTTTATTATGATTCTCTTTATCTGTACTTGTTTAAAATTAAATTACATCATAAAGATCTAATTACAAATTATTTAGAATTTTGAAATAAAACCAGTATTTTATCAAATGCTTTGAGATTAATGCATTCAAACTTAAAAAAAAGATATATTCAGATCAATTTCAATATTATTGATTTTTTAATGTAAAAACTATGTCTACATAGATCTCAAACAATTTTATTAGATACTCTTTTTCCCAATTTTTTTCAAAATCTCTTTTTACATATCAAAAATTGTATTTTTCAATTTCATTTTTATTTTTTCCATATTTTTTTTGGAATTTGGATATGCGTCCAAAGTAGTTATGTCATTAGAAAAATATTAGATATCTGAAGAGAAAATGATAACTTAAAAAAAAAAAAAAAAAAAAAAAAAAAAAAAGTAGTGGGGCTTCCAGGGGCTGCGCCCCTTCTAGCCCCGAAGATGTTTAGTATAAATGAGGTTTTTATTCTGAAATGTTTGTTTAAAGTTTTTTACGGATGGAAATGAACTGGATATCGTCTGAGTCTTCGCTTGTTTCCTCCTCTTCTTCTTCTTCGTCCGAATTGTCTTCATCTTCACAATAACCAGATAAGAAGATGGTTATTTTGGTTTGTTCTGGTTTTTTGAGAAGCATTTTGGCTGTGCCAGTAAAAACGAACTCAAGATTTTGATAGAATTGTCTGCTTGAGTGAGTGAAATTGCATACTGTAACTGGCATTGCAACTCGGTTTGCTTGAACAGATATTATTGAAACTTCTTCTCCATCTGGTATCCGTTCAGGAATATCTAAAGCGGCTGTTGTGATAATATGCATATTGTTTTCGTAATGCAATTTTGGATATATTTCGAATGGATGTGCAGCTACACCAGCTGGAGCAACAATGGAAAGATTCCAGGAGAAAGAACCGTGTTTGTTTTCATCTTCTTTCCAATTGTAAGTTAAAGGATAAGGGCGAAAGTCTTTGAGTGTTTCATATAGCTGTTCTCTTAAGTTTGGTTCACAGCAAAGAATGAATTCGTCAATTGCTTGAAGAGATATCATAGTTGAAACATAAGGCAAATTCGACAAGAAAAAGTCAACCATTACTGTCGGGTTTTGAACTTTGTTTTCTAATGTTTCGACTGGTTTTATTATACTTTTGAAATATCTATCATAGTCATTGTTGTCTGTTAAGGACAAATTGTTTGGATAATCTGCAATGAGTCTTCTATATCTTGCTTCTGTTGTTGAGAATGAGAAGACACCTTCTGGTTCTGTAGGAGTGTAAGTTTTTAGTTGAACTTGAGCTTCAATTTGTGTCTGATTGGAGTCTGATTGGACTGAAACAACTTGAGCTTCTGTAGTTTGTTCGACTTCGGCAGTTTCTTTTGGTTGAATTTGAGCTTCAATTTGTGTCTGATTGGAGTCTGATTGGACTGAAACAACTTGAGCTTCTGTAGTTTGTTCGACTTCGGCAGTTTCTTTTGGTTGAATTTGAGCTTCAATTTGTGTCTGATTGGAGTCTGATTGGACTGAAACCTGTGTAACCTCTTTGGACATACTAGTAAAGTATGAAGATATAAGTGTTTGACCTTTAAAGAGCTTTTGTAAAGAATTGTCAGTCATGCTACTACTGTGGTCTTCCATTAGACAAAAATGAACTGTTTTTTCGGACTACTCATAGAAAGTTTAAAATAAACCGTTTTCGTCAACGGTAACCCCTCTATTTTTTTATTTTATTGAAAAGTCTCCGTTGGCAAACCGTTCCATCTCAAATATTGAATGAACTATAAATTTTTTGTTTTCTATATATACTTTTTTGTCCAACGGTAAAACTTTTTACACAACGGTTTTTTGAGAGTCGTCGCCGTTGACTTTTTGTAGAGCACTCAAAATAGTGTAACTTTGTCTGGACAAGTAAGGGTCTATCGTCGCTACAGGAAAAGTTACAGGCGTTCCAAGGAAGTATACTTTGAGAAGCCTTTTCCCCTTATAGAATGAGATAGGACGGTTATTTTACAAAACTGACAACACTTTGACGAGTAGTTTTTTGTGCTGAACAAAAAGTGTCATATAAACATCTGTCAAAAGCCGCTTTTTAACTTCACTTAAAATGCCACGTAAGCTACGTAAGAATATACGTAAGAGGAAGAGAGCATTGAAACATCCAATAGTAAAACTGACACCACAACAACAGTTGCAACAACAAATTATGAATGACCCCACTATGTTGCAACAAATGTCAAGCAATCCTATGCTTTTAAACCGAGTTGTTGGTGCACAGAGTGGAGGTTTAAGAGCGGCACTTTTAGCGAAAATGGCAGGCTATGGTGGAGCTGCAGACGGAACAGCCTATAACCCTCAAAGTCAAATGAATTTGAGTTCACTCAAAAATCAAATAACAGATGTCAAAAAGTCAAACATAGACATACAGAAGCAAATAAGTGAAAACGAAAAGAAACTAGAATATGACAGACACACAAAGAAACTCAATGAGTTAAACGTAGAGAAAAA